GAGAGAGAGAGAGAGAGAGAGAGAGAGCGAGAGAGAGAGAGAAAGAGAAAGAGAAAAAGAGGGATAGAACGAGAGAGAGAGAAAGCTTTACAAAGCATTTTCAGTTGACATTTGGTCAACAGCAGCCACAGCAGTGGAGATGCTCGGCGTCAAGCTGTTCTACCCGGCCGGCTGGACACCGCAAGGCATTAAACAGGACGTGCTGAAGAGGATATATCACGTTTGCGCGCCAGCGATGATGGATCAGTATCCGCAAAGACGGTAGGTAAAGCGAAAAAAATAACGATTATTGTAACCTTTAACGAATTACGCTATGGAATTTGCCGGGTAAGGTTTAGCCGATTACACGATAAAAAACGCGGCGAAATGATCAGTTACGGCATGAAATCGAGCTGTTGCTCTATTTCTGGAAAAATTAGGTCAAACCGATTACGATATAAAATTAACCTGGGTTTTTTGGCCAGAATGAACCAATTCATTGCGCCAGCACATGGTTCAGAAAAGGGGCCCCTGGGTACAGGATGCAGAGGCTCTAGAGCGCGACGCGAGGAAGGCGGGGGGGGGTGGGGCGCGCGATAGAGAGCCGGGTAATCTTGACATTTTGATTCAAACGCGGGGGTGGGGGCAGACAGCCAGAGGGGGGCGGTGCCGAGACCCCTCTCCATCTTCCCGCTCGACGTTTCGTATGGCTCTGGGGGAAAATTGGGCACCACTATTTTTAAGCTTATCCGATTACGACATAGCATCTCGTTCAAAGCTTTTTAGATCCGAACCAACAGCACGAACTCGACTACCAAGCGAGTTGCCTCAGAAGCGCCTTGAAAATGGCCGAGGACCACTGACAATTCAGAACTTGGTGAAGTTGTTGGAGAAGATGTTCACCATCGATCCGAAACTGAGACCAAGCGCTGCAGAATGCTTGAAGGAGGAATATTTGCAGTTGATGAACGTGAGTGCTGGATTTTAAGCGCGTCATCAAAGAGTAACTCTCATTTCGTAACGCTAAATAAGAGTTACTATAAATTTGAAATGACATTTTGAACGCCTGATATTTAAAATCGGCTATTTTATTCCGACAATTACTAAACGAATTGACTCTGTAATTTAGCCATTAAATCCTACAATTTTCAGACAAAATACGACGAGGTTCACAAGCAGCCAACAAGTGAAGGTTCGTTTTTCGCTGTTTCTGTCTAATTTTTGCCGTACGGCCAATCGATTACGACACCTTATTAATCCCTCAATTTCCAGAATCTTTTCACGCATTTATTCGGAAGATCCGTGCCGACGCAGACCCAATCGAGCCTCCCTAATTTGGCCGCGGGGCCCAGAATGATGCACGTGTGGGGCTGCGGTTTTGCCCGGGGTACGCGCGCGAATTTTGGGAATCATGGCGGCAAATGAGTTACATGCGTGGCGGGTTACGTTTCGTGCGCTTATCCTGCTAAGCGTGAAAAGCGATTTTGGGATTCAAATGCGCCGGAAAATGGGCGCTTTAGAGGCTCTTTACACCCCTTTTTTGGACCCCTAGCTCGTTTTCGGCCTTTTTCAACGGCATTCGATACAGAATCGAAAAACATGCAAAAAGTTTTAATTGCAGCTCCAACGAATGTTGCCTAAATTTTTTTACCGCGCAAAGTACCAAAATAAGCCCTGGAAAATTTTGCTTTTTGTACGCTATCTTAAATTTTTAGGCTTTTAGTGTTTTCTCATTTTCTAGGCCAATTTTCCTGAATTCTTACGGGTATCTCCGAGTAAAGCCAAAGCCACACGCGCATAATATGGGCCCGGGTAAGCACGAAATCGAGATTTTGAAAATTTTATATACGACCCTGGATGTTGAATACGATAACTAGACTTTTAAATGATTTGATACTAATGATTTGATATTTGATACCTTTGACTTTTCTGCAAATTATGCCTACTACCAGCCTGAGTGCGGAATTCTTGTGTATGCTTCCATTGCTTTAAGGTGATTGGTCTTCTAGATTAGTTTTCTAGAGGACCATCTCCCCTGCTTTTTCCAGTTTTGTGTTTGAGCCAATGGTTCACAATGTTAGATGAGTGTAAAAAACCCCCAAAAATAGTCGAATAAACTGAAAAAATAGACTGAACGCTTTATCCACCCTACACGAACAAATCAAACTACACGCACAGGGAGATGAACAGGGAATTTTCGATAATTCTGGAATGAACCGACACAACGTCGTGCGTGATATGGCAATTAATAACAGAGAAACGAGAGAGATGGAAGTAACGAGAGAGAGAGAGAGAGAGAGAGAGAGAGAGAGAGAGCAAAAATTCTAGGCGTTTCACTCGACGACGGCGATCGCCTCGATCTCGACGAGGGCCTGCTTCGGCAGGACGGCCACCTACAACAGGGGAAATCAATTTGAAAAATCTTATATTTTCTATGGATTTAGGCTTCAATGGCCTTTAAAAATTGAATCAAAAGTCTACCTGATACGCGGAACGTGCGGGGTAGTCGCCCTTGAAGTACTCCTTGTAGATCTCGTTCACCGTCGCAAAGTCGTTGATGTCGGCCAGCAGCACCGTCATCTTCACCACTACAAAAAAAGCAAATATTTTTATGGAGCTTTTGCATTATCGGGGGGGTGCACGTTTTTCGCGATAAGGGTTCTTACTAAATTTTCCAATAAAATTTATCTAGATTCCAAACGGAAAACTTATGAGAAAAATCTGCCAGATTTTTACAAACATTAAATTATGAAAAAAATCGGCATTAAAAGCCGAGGTTTTAATAGTGTGAATTTTCAGAATTTTAGATAAGCAAAGGTTAAATTTTAATAATTTTTCTTATTAAATTTAATAAGATCAAAATTTTTCTTGTAAATTTTCTATCTTTATGAATAAGAAAACCATTTCGAAATATGTACTCACCATTCTCATATCCGGCGCCGGCCGCTTTCAGCACCTCGCCAATGTTGCGGAGGCTCTGGTGCGTCTGGTCCTTGATGCCCTTCTCGAGTTCCTAAAAACGTTGGTTTTTAAAGGGGCCGGAAAGGCACGACTATCTTCCGCAACACGCAACGCCTTGCGCTGCACGCTGCGGGTCCGAAGAACTCGCCAATGAAAATCGTTAAATACCTCCAAAACCCACCCCCGACTCGGGCTTGATGCCCAGCGACCCGGACAGGTAGAGCGTGTTGCCGGCGCGGATGGCTTGGCTGAAAAGGGGCTGCGTTTATAGGTGTATTTCGTAGCATAATAATCTCAAAAACCAGGCCCAACAAAATTTCACAAATCGTCTACCTGTAGGGCCCGATGGCGGCGGGGGCCTTGTCGCTGTGGATGACCTGGCGGACGGATTTGGACATGGTGCGGGTGGCTCTGAAACATGAGAAAAGTCATAGAAATATAGATAAATCGTTTAGATAAATTTAAAGCAAATCTTAAACGCAAGCATTTTCTAAATTCCGTTAAAATTGGCATCAACCAGACTTTTCCGGAAACCACAGAAAGCCTTGGAAAAACTAAGAAAAAATCCCGAAAGTTTCCAAGCTTTAAAACTATAAAAGCAAAATCATGGCTGATCTAGCAAAAAGCTAAAAACTCGGCTAGAAAGTCATTTTCAAAATGTGAAATACTAAAAATATGCCAATCCCGAAAAAAGCAGACTTTTGAACATGCTAAATTCAGGAAAGAGTTGTGAAATTAGACTAAAAGGCTAAATTCTTATAGATGAAGCCGTCGCCCACTCCTCTGCCTTTTCCTCGCCCTTCACCCGCTTTGCCACCGGCTCCTGTTCCCCGTCCTCCGCCGCGCTCCCTCGCATCTACAAACAGTTTCACCGCCATTTCCGGGGCTTCAAACAGGCGAATCGAAGAGGCGGAGGACGGGTAGAGCGGACAAATAGGCCTATCAAATAGGAAAGAGGATTCGTCAAAAATTCGAGCTGCGCTTTTAGAAATGAAGGGTCTTTTCGAGCATTTTAAACTTTAAAAATTATTTTGAAATGCATACAATATTTATGAAAACAAGTTTAGAAAGTAAAGCCCACTTACAGGGCACGTGCGCCACGGACCGAAGCGGACAGCATTGGGCTAGAGTTGAGGAGCTTGAGCGCGCTGCGTAGGGCTTGCTGTGGTAAATTTTTGAGTTACTTTGTCTTATGCAAAGCTCCGAATTCAGAAGAAAATTGAAAGATCTAGCATGCAAAAGCTATGATTAACGATGCCTTTTATAAACTTAAAAAAGGGTGAGAATCCGCTTAAATTAGTCGAAGCTAAAGAGAACAACTTTGAATGAGTGAAAAAGAAAGTCCAAGGCAATCGATAAGGCAAAAAAAGAAGCGGATAAGAAAGCGCTGAAAACCAGCCAGCTAACATCCCTCGCCCCGCCCATAAAACGATTCGCTGGCGCAACCAAGGCCATATCATTGTGCTGAGAAAAGTGGACCAGTCGATATCAATCCGTTTAGCCGGTGCAGATGATAACCGACAGATTGACAAATGGGATTGGCAGATAGAGGAGCACTGCAGAATCAGCATCCAGCAGCAAAAAATCGGCCCAATGAAAAATGAGCAACGCCGTTCGTGCAGCAACAATTTTAGTAAATCGGCCAAAAAGGTGTTGCTCATTCGTAATCTCATAAATCGTCTAAAAACCTGGAAAATATGATATACTCCAAATCAGATCTTCAAAATTGCGAATGCGAATGTAAACTTTATAAAACTTTATTGGTCTGAAACAATAACAAGACCCTTATCACCAGTAAACAGGACAGACGCAATTGGGCTACTATGGGACCGGCGTGTTTTTTTAAGTGGTGGGCCCCCAGAAGCCGCGGAGAGGGGGAGCAACAGTTCGACCTCAGGAGGCCCACCCGCCCACAGCAGCACCAAAATTCGGGATAAATACCGTAAAAGAAGGGACAACATCAGCGAGCGAGAGAGAGAGCGCCCGGCGGCAAAACCGGAGACAACGCAAAGGCAAAAAGAAGAAGAAACAAATGGCGGGGGCGGTTATTTGATGGATTAGTCGCGCTCGTCCTCTTCCGAGAGGATCGTCAGGGTTTTCTGGGTCGAGAGCGCGATCGTGATCGTCTCCTCCACGAGGTCGTCGTCGTGCACCTCCGCTTCCGTGTCGATGCCGTCTGCAAGGAAAGATATATGAAAATGTATGCACGATCTTTTGAAGCATCGGAGGAGGTTTTTGCAATTCTTTTTGATGTGAAAACCTTTCCTCAAGAATTCAGATTACTAGTAATGTAATAGAAAGTATTTTAACAGTTTTCCTGTTAAAATTTAGCTATCTTTAACTAATTTAAATTCCTAAAACAATTGAGCAAGCTTGGAAAATCTTTCGGAAATTGAAATTTAGTCGAAACGTTGCTGTTTTTAGAATTTCTGAAATTAAATTCGTACACTTTTTAGAAATAGCAAAAAACCCTGTAGAAACAGTTCCCTTTTAATCATACATAGGTTCTCCGATAAAACTGCTAAAATTCAAGTCGTAAACAATTTTAAAAACCTTGAAACACCCTTCAAAATTTCAAATTTTGGCGAAACATTGCTACCATTGGTATTTTTAATAAAACAAAAATTTGTACATTTTTGAAATAGTAAAAAGGTATAGACACTCTCCCGCTTTTCCATAAAAAACTTGGCCTAACAAAAGTCTCTTCCACCCCCGATTTTGCGCACCAAAGATCCGTAAAAAGTATAAAACATACTGCGCAACTGCAGTCGATCGGCCTTCGTCTTCTCGATCAGGTCGAGATTCCGCCGGCGGATGACGTCGAACGCGCCCATGATCTTCCGGCGCTTGTCGATGACCTCCTGGCTGGCCTTGACCTTCTCCTCGTTGTCCTCGCGGTCGAACTTGGCCGACGTCGTCTTCAGGTTCTTTCTGAAACAAGAGTCATTCGGAATTCCATGGAAAACAAACCGAATCTCCTTGATCTTCTGCTCGGAGAGCTTGACTGGCGGACGTGGCCGCCACTTGAATTGCGTCATGCGGTCGAGGTTCTTGCGCAGAAGTTCACGGCCCTAAAGCCGAATTTTGGTGATGTTAAAATTTCTCACCTGGAACGTGTATAACCGGAAGCCGAAATCGCTGCCACGAGCGCCAACGGCACAGCACGAGACGAAGTAACGGCCGGTCGGGTCCCAGTAGGCCTTGTTGAAGAGCGGATGTTCGGCGATAGACGTGCGCTTGACCTCTTGGCCGTTGGTGTCGACGAAGATGATGTTGCCACCAGTCGAGCCGAGGGCCAGGATTGCCAGCCTAAAAAAACAGAAAATTAAAGTTATCGATGAATCGAAATACGAGGGAGGCATATGCCAATAAAATGTTCTAGACCTCAAATTTTGCCGATTTCAGATTTTTCTCATTTGCTCATTTTTGTCGCTATTCATACAAAAAATCAGAACGTGATTTTGGGCGTGACCAAGGGAAATTCGAAACGTCCACGCTTCAGATTCACAGTTCATTTTCGTGCCGTAATTCAAACCTTGGCACTATTTTAAAGTTACAATGTCAAATTCCTCACCATCCACCAGCCGGCGCGAAGCACACCGTATTCAACGACACGCCGGCTTCGAGTTGTCCGATGCAGACGGGCGAGTGCTTGAGCGGCTCGATCCGGTAGATGAACGGGGTGGCCTTGGCTTGGCTGCCGATGAGCACGCAGAATTTGTCACCTGAAAAGCCATATTGGAATCGAAAGCCGATGATTTTCAGTTTAACAACCTAATTTTTTGCAGCTTTTTAAGTGTTCATAATTTTTGCCTTTTCCGCATTCCGGCATTCCTGGTAACAAAATACAGAAATAGAAAAACGTAACGGATGCGGCGAAAAATGTCTATATCGAAAAATATAGCAAAACGAATTAGGCTTAGCGAATTTAGGACAACAAAGGCGCGCAGTTTTTCCTACGTTCCTAAGTCTTTAAAAAACCACTAAAATATACCATTCGGCTCCCAGCCAAAGTTGATGAACGGTTCGGAAAGTGGCAGGTGCATGATGGCAATGTCCTTCTTGTTCGACAGCTCGAAGATTTCGAGGTGGGACTTGACGCCGCCGACGTATTTCACCTCGCCGTTTTCTTTTATCGTCTTCTTGTTATACCTAAAAACAAAGATAAAATAACGCCATGCAAACACTCAATATACCTGACTGTATGAACGGCAAGTCGTGCTCCGCTTTCTTGCCAGAACATTTGCGCCTCCGCCACGTTGAAGACACGGCCCGAGCGCAGCTTTTCGCCGGACGGGATGCTGATCAGCCCGAATTCGGCGGGGATGGGTTCGCTGGCCTAAAAAGAAAGATAATTTACAAAACTTTAATTCCGATACCTCAGAGTAGTAGGCGATGATATTCTTGTCTCCTGGGGACCAGCTGAACTGCCTGATGTTCTCGATGACAAGGTAGCGGTTGCCGACGAGCTGCAGCGTCTCCGAGTCGAACACGGCGATGCCGTTGACCTTCTTTTGCTTCTCGAGACGATCACGCTCGGGCACTTTTGGGCACGCAAAGTACTTGTCGTCGTGGGACCATCTAAAAGTAAAATTACAGATTTTAAAAAAGGGGTTGTTTCGCGAGACGGGCAACAACAAGATTTTCTGATCTACTTTGAGCTAGCGTTGCTCCAAGGTTTTTTTGAACTTCAACTGCGAAAATACAGAGCCTCAGCCCAAAATTCAGATTTACAAACCTCTTTCTTAGCTTTCTAAAGTGTTTTTACTATTAATTTATAAAAATTCTTACGAAAACGCCAATATAATACGTTCCACGAAATTACTGACATAAATGCTCTCATAGGAAAAAAATCAAATATTGCGACCAACATAAAACGAATTTCTCATAATTCGAGATTGCAAAGGCCAATAAAATGTACTGGAAGAACGGCCAGCAGGGCATCTCGTTGCGTAGTGTGAGGGCGTAGAGCGAGAATCCCTTCAGCATCTCTCCTGTTCGGATGTCCCAAAGTTGGAGGCAGTTGTCGTCTTCGCCCCATCTCGAGTTGGCCGGCGCGTAGGTGACCATGAAGCTATAAAGAGAGATTAGAGAAAGGATCAGGATAACGTACTTTTCACAAGGGGAAAAGTCAAAGTATTGGACGCCGATGTGTTCGAATCGGAGGTAACGTTGGAACTTGGGGCCGCCCCACAATGCTATACCACGGCCGTGGATCGTCGCCAGGTAGCTGCCATATGGGGTCCATTTGAAGACGGACTCGGTCCAGTTCTGGAAAAGAAAATTATAAAATTTTATGAACAAAACCGCAAAATCGGGCAGCGGTCTTTTTTCTATAATCAAAACATTCGAAAACCCAGAAAAAGGTTGAAACCCGGCAGTTTCCGTTAGATGATTGTTCATCTACGTTACGTTTTAAGATCAAAGTTTTGCGAATCAAAGTAAAAACCGTGTATCAACAGCTGCTCTTGAGAACAGAAAAATTCGGCTTCTCGATTTTGCGCTATAACGAAAAAACCTCACAAAAAGACATAGAAACGGGCAAAAAATTTTTGCGCATCTTTCGGCACGAGCAAGAGAACTTTTCAAACGCTCTTCCGACTCAAAAACAAGCGTGAGTATTACGCACAGGTTTCTGGCCCTCATCGGCGACTTCGGGCTCGTGTCCCTTGACGTGCCAGTAGATTCCGACGTGCGGCACGTGGTGGTTGTCCTCGAACTGGACGGCGAATTGATCGCGGCACCGCGGGTTCTGCATCCACGACCACAAATCGCCCTAAAATACAATGAAAAGAAAGAAGATGCAAAACGTACGACATTGACATATTCGTTGGGCTTGGGGGCTTCCCATTCCTCGTCGGGTTTTTCCATCGATTTCATGTCGGCGATCTGGAATCGGATATTCTCGTAAAAAAAATTATAGAGCTGATCCCACCGAAATGGCCGAAAACGCGTGGTTCTTGTCGAGCCGGTAGCCGTTGAGGACGGTGAGGGCGTACTGGGCAACATCTTTGCTCTCCCATTCGACGAAGAGACAACCCTAAACAACACTAATTCAAACAAAAAAGAAGATTACCTTTGTATTCCCATCGGCATCGACCGGGTACTCGACCTTGTTGCTCGTGTTGATGCCGTTGAGCACCTTCGCGACGACGGCCTAAAAAAAATAAATCAGAAAATTCTGAAAAATCTTACCTGCAACTTTGGGAACTTCTCTTTGTTGACGATGGGCAGGCCGAAGAGGATCAGGCAGTTCTCCTCGTACTCGTCGATGAGCGGCTCTTGTTTTAGCACGTCGCCGAGCAGTTCTAAAATAAACAAAAATGTTTTCTTGCCTAAAAATTTATACCTTCATCTGCGATATCATCCTCAAAGTCCTCTGGATCGTCGAACGAGGGCTCTACCTCCTCATTCTCCTTGTTCACGTCTAAGTCGACCATCTTGTTGTTTGAAACGATGCTCAGGGCCAGGCAGTTGTACTTGATCGGGTTACACTGGAAAAAGGAGGTTATGCAAGCCAAATCCAAGAAAATAAAGTTTAGTGAAAACAATGAGCTCTTCTAAACGTAATATTGCAATCAAAAAAGTGTATTTGGGTCAGAAGCCTTTAGGCCGAGTAATCTAAGTGTTTTTAGTGGCTAAAACGCGAAATGTTCACCGAAAGGCGTCAAAACAGGGGAAATAAGCTGTGAACCATCGGAAAACATTGTAAGTCTCAAATTACAACAATACAGTCAGGAAAACGACAAAAAGGCGACTATCGACTTTTTGACGGCAATTTTGAGGCCCAAAATTTCAGAGCCAGGGGCTTTTAGGCGCAACCGAATGCGTTTTTCTCGATGCTGATCATTTTGCGCAGCGTAAAAAAGCATAAAACCAAGAAAAGCGCAAGAAAATCGACGTAAAATTCAAATAATATATGCTTTGGCTAGGGTTTATGATGAAAAGGAGGGCCGTCGGGGTGGCCCGAAAAGCAGCACGGGTACTGTGGATGGGGCAGGCTTTAGGCGAGGGAGCCGGATGGCGATTACCCGCGCTGGGCCTCGACGCAAAAAAAGCTTTGAAGTTTTATAAAAATTGTGGACATTTTTAGCCATTTTAGAAAGGGGATCAAATCGATGGGGAACATCGGGAAGTGAAAAAAGAAGTCACTTGATTGCCATCACGGTTATGAAATGGACCTGAAAAATCCGGATTCGTAGGTTTTGGCGCGATGCCAATACTTTGAAATTTGCCACTTCTCGGCGTAACTGTTTTTTATCTAAATCCCGTGTAAATCCTTCAAAAAATTGGTTATCTTCTATTCCAGGACCGTACTGTTTCTAGGAAAACGCTTTTTCGGCCTGAAACCCCCGCTAATGAACAAGCGCCGCCGTAATAAAAAAAATATAAATATTTACAGCGCTGACCCTGGCCCGCGGGGCAGCGCCGACCCCCCGGGGGTAAATCAACATCCCATACACCGAAACCCGACCAAAACGCCCTGGCCCCGGACCCGTCCGAACCGGTCCTAGGGGTCCCGCAGCGATCCGGTCGGACGGGCAGGCGGGCGGGCGGACGGACGGGCGCACGGACATTAGAAATTTATATATAAGTGATGCCTTGCCCATCCCTTTAAAGTTGACAGTCTCTCGCGTGATTTGTTTTTCTTGTGAAATCACTCCCCCCGACCCCCTCTATTTTCACATTGTCACCCCCGTTTGCCGGCGACAATCAGGCATTTTGGCCCGAAATTTTTCCTCCCAAAAATTCCCCAAATTTGGGCCTCTCACGCGAATTGGGTCGGTATTCCCACAGCTGCTAATTAATTTGGAAGGAAGGGGAAAAGCCCGAATTGTGTGAAGAATTACCCGGGCAACGCCGCTAATTGTGACGGGTCCGCCACCGGTAGCTCACCAAATCACTTTTGGCCCCAAGTGTTTTTGGGTGTATTTGGGACTTCCTGCCTTGAGCTCGAGAAAAATGGTGGTGCTGCAGCCGGAAGATTTGGTGGGTTGAAATGAGAATTCAGGCCAAAGGGCAACGAGCAGAGGTTATTTTATCTTCGTTTGGCCTTTTATCCAAACCCAAGCCCACGTCTAAGCCAAGCCTATGTCAGAGCCCTACGCCTAAGCCTAAACGTCAGCCCAAACCTAAATCTAAGCCTAAGCCCGACCTAAGCGAAACCAAGCCTGGACAAAGTGCTCTGCACGAAGCCTAAGCCGAAGCCGAAGCCTAATGCTGAAGCCTAAGCCTAGGCCTAAGCCTAATCCTAAGCCGAGACCTAAGCCAAAACGTAAAACCAGACTTCGACGCCCCCTTCTAGGACGAATTCGAGAAGCTGCTCGAGGACCACAGCTCCCGGCTGATCGTCGTCGACTTCTACGCCACGTGGTGTGGCCCGTGCAAGATTATGGGGCCCAAGCTTAGCGTGAGTACATTCTAAAGGGATAGAAAAGGTAGGAACCCAGAGATTCGATTACAGTAATACTCTGAAAATCAGCCGAAAACCTTAAAAACCCGAAAAACACGCATTTTTAGAAAATGTCCGACCAGATGAACGACATCGTCTTCGTGAAGGTGGACGTTGATGAAAATGTAAGAAATTTTCCGATCTTCGGACTTAAAGGGGCTAGAACCTCGAGAATCAACCCTGGTCAACGGCTAGGCCTAGACAGCAACGTAACGCTCCTAATAACAAGCGTTTAGTGAGACCTTAAAGCTAGCATAAGTGGCATTTGGAGTGTCGCGTAGCTGTCGAGACCTAGTCCATTCAAGGGGGCCGATTATCGCACTTCCTAGCGCCTCTAAAGCCGGGAAAATTCTAATTTTTCAGGAAGAAATCGTCTCCCGCTACCCGATCAACGTCATGCCCACCTTTATTTTCATCAAGGACGGCGAGCAAATTGTGAGGAACAATTTAAAAGCCATTTTTCTAACTTCTTAGGATTCTGTCGAGGGCTCGATGGAGGAGCAGCTCGGCAGAAACTTGCTGCTCACCGTTAAAAATAGATAACGAAGCCTTCGCCTCTTTTTTCGTTCTCTCTAGCTGGGTCGGCTCTCATCTCTCTCTCCTCCCTCCCCCTCCCCCCCCCCCTCTCCCCCCCCCCTCTCTCTTCTCTCTCTCTCCCTCTCCCTCTATCTATCTCTCCTCTCTCGGTAGCTCGTACTTTCTCGCTTCCCCTTATTCCCTCTCGTGCTCTCGTTCTCCCTTCACTCTCTTGGGCTCCTTCTCTCGATATGTCGTGCTAACTCTTTATCTCCTATCGCTCTCCCGTGCCTCTCCTTCTCACATTCCCTACTTCTCTCGGACTCCCTCTCTCTCTCTCTCACCCACTCTCTCTCTCTCCTCTCTCTCTCTCTCTTTCTCACTTTCCTACTCTCTCTCTCTCGATGTAATTTCCGAAACACTCCTATTTTTTCAATAAATTTTTATCAGCTCTACAGTAAGCCGCAGTCATACAAATCGTATACAAGTCATCACAACTACCGTAGTATTTGAAGCATAATCCAGTGGGGGGCAAAATTTGCATATTTTCGCGCGTGGGGTATACAGTAGCCCATCGTTACCGTAACCCTGTCAGAGGGAATTGAATCACAGCCTTCAGCAATAGCTAAAAAATCGAAAAAGTATAATACAGTACTGTTAATACAATTTTATGGGTGATTTGCATATATTTAAGGCAAGGAAAAAAATACATAAATACAGGACTATCAAGGGAATACGGTAGATTACAGTAGTAGTATTCACAGATGCGCTTAAAAAAGGTAAAAATTGCTCGAATCGAAGCTAGATGGGTGAACTAGAATCGTAGTCAAAACTAGATGAAAAATCATAATTAAGCATTAAAAATCGATAATTAGGATGAAAATAAAAAAGCTGGCCGTACGCAAGCACCACGTGACGCTTTTTAAAGGAACCGGTAAGGCAGTGACCATGGATTTTGTTAGCTTTGGATTTTCGCCCAATTTTCCAAATTTTGCCGCGATACGCCGCGCGTGGAATTTGACGTAGATTGCGGGCCCATCACGTTACGTGTCGCTCTGCGTTGCGTATCGCGTCGCGTCGCGTTTCGCGTTGTGTAGCGCGTGCCATTTTACGTTTCGCGACGCTCGCGTCGCGTTTCGTGCCGCTTTGCGGGTAGTGACGCGCTGCGCGTCGCGCCGCGGGCAGATCCACAATAAATCTAGACTAACGAAATCCATAGTAATGTAATGCCTTGCTAAAACCTTTAATCTATGGGAGGGACGTTTTTTGGCAAGTCTAGCGAAAAGAAAATTGTTTTTTTAGCCGTTTTAAAGGGACGAGGAAGGCTGGCGGAACAGTTTGGCAAGCTGCCAAATCCCTACCGTAGTCGAGTTTTTTACATATTTTTGCCTTCCAAGCCCCTTTAAAGTCAAATTTCTACCTGGGGGGAATTTGCATCGACTTGAACACGTTCAAGCAATATTATATAAACAAAAAGGACGGTTTTTGAAAAAAATTGCGCTTGCTGTCGTGGTCCCTTTAAACCTATGCGGTCTAATGGTGGTACTGAACATCTGTAGTGACGTCATCAGCCATAGAAGAATGGTAGTCGTCGAGGGAATCGTCGCGGGACCTCAAGGGTGGTGACAGTAAGACGTGCCCGCGACGCGACCGCGCCTCCTGGCAGGCTCGCAGGATTCGACATGAGGCGCCGCCTCTGAAAATTCGAGTTGTTATTTTAAGAAATATGTGAAATACGAGATGTGGAATTCCAAAGAGTTCAAGCCGTTCAGCTGCAGCTTTCCTTGCAAAAAACTATCGAATTTGCATCATTTCAATGAGTTCAACCCTGTCTTAGCGAGGGTAAGCTAGCAGAGATCTCTTAGGAAAATACTGCTTGTTTTCTAAGAAATCCCTCAAGTTCAAGGAGTTCATCAACAGTGATAGAACATGGCAAGCTAGCAAAGGTTCTTTGAGAAAGTACTTTAGAAAACTCACGCAACGCCACACTGCCTCAGCTCCTCCCTGCCGACGTACTCCAAGATGTCCGGCTTTGTGTAGCCCTCTCTGATGATGCAGGCGATTGAGTGGTCATCGACATCCAGACTTCGCAGCCAGGTGACAAGCTCATCGGCGTGTCTGCAAATGGGCAGGTTAGCAGGGATTCGTTTTTCACTCTCTCTATCTCGCTAGCTCTATCTCTCTCTCTCTCGCTCTCTCTCTATCTCTCTTTCTCTCTACTGACACTCACTTCGGTAACGAGTTCTGCGGTGAGGGAGCGCTGGACGACGTCGCCGAGCCGTTCGCCATGCCATTCGGGAGGGTGGAGAGGCCTTGTAGCGGTGGCACTGAAAAATTGTGAATTGGACGAGACAGAGAGAGACAGAGGGAGAGAGAGGGGGGAGAGAGGAGAAAGACTCACTCGGACGTTCTGACACCTCTCGCAGCGTCGATATCTTCCGCCGCTTATCGTCGATGACCAACCGGAGCAGCGTGTTCAGCTCGCGCTCCACCTCGAGCAACCTGAAAACGAGGTTATTAGAATTTTCAGGGCCAGACAGCGGAGATATGTGGAAACAACTGACTGATCGAAGAGCTGTCGATTCTCCTCGTGGACATTCTTCAGGTTATCTCGTCTCTCGCGTACCACCGACGAGTCGAAGGCGGGCGGCGCGGATGGGGGACGGCTGTCTCCGGTTTCTGCTGAAAAATTGGGCTAGGAATTTTCTCTAGCCTGCCCGTTCTATTCCCAAATGATCTCTGCTAGCCTGCCCCTTCCATTCCCAAATGATCTCTGCTAGCCTGCCCATTCCATTCCCAAATGATCTCTGCTAGCCTGCCCCTTCCGTTCCCAAATGATCTCTGCTAGCTTGCCCCTTCCATTCCTAAATGATCTCTGCTAGACTGTCCGTCCCTTACCTTCACTAACAGCACTCTCCCGACTGACGGATGGTCGTTGGACTCCGCTCGTTGACGGCGAATTGATATCGTGGACCTAAAAATGTAATAATTTAGCAAAATCAGGTATAGAATTTAGTATCGTAATCGAATACCATACCTGGAGTACCGCCGACAAATCAGGGCTGAGGATTTGGACGGCAGTTTGCACAGCTGATCGGATCAGATTGTCCAGGGCGAACATCCTGAAAAAAGAATGTTTTGGATGAGATGATTTTGAAGATAGTTTCGAAGTGGTGCAGGCTAGCAGAGGACCTTTAGGAACTTATTAAGCATAGGATTTTTTATTTTACGAATTCCTCAAAGTTCTCTGCTAGCCTCCTGTTTTTAACGACTTACGACCAGAATTTCAGGGGTTACTTGTTCAAAATGAGCATCAGGTTTTTCAGTTTCTGTGAATGCTGCAATAGTCCCTGCTAGCATGCCGGTATTTTGGTATTTTAGAGTACGGAAAGTACACAAAAAAACAGGGCAAGCTAGCAGAGATTTTAGTGGAGTCCAAGGGTCTAGCAAGAAATTCACCGCAAATTCCTAATGGTCTCGGTAGCCCTCCCCTTGAGCACCATATTGGCTTTTTCAGGATTCCTTAATGGTCTCTGCTAGCTTGCCTTTCTCACGTGCCTTTAAAACCATAAATAGACCTCACCAATGCGGCTTGATGATCAACTTCCGGAGCACCGGTTGCATCGCGCCGGAAAAGTCATACAGTGCCAGGTTTATCTAAAAATGACAAAAGCTTTTAGAATCTATTCGATTTTATTACCTGAGAAATTGCCGTCGGCTCGTAGTCGAGGAGCGTTCGAGGTCATTGAGGCAATCCTGAAAAATTACAGTGCATGAAGTGGTCTCAAAAATAGTCTTAAAAATCGTAATAATTTTATAGCGCGCGGCAGCATTCAAACTTCGTAAAAATTTTGCAAGCAGTACCAAGGCTTTTAAAAGCATTATTAACAACTATAACTCTCAGAAAAAGTAATATAAAATTTGTATAAAAATATATTTCTGTACCTTAATCGGCTGCACGTCCTTCGACAGCAAATAATTGCGCATCCCGTCCAGCAGGGTACGAAGCATATTTCTGGAAAACATTGCGTTAAATCGGATATTTCAGACTTTTCAAAGCTCGTTAGCCGAATTACCTCGTGACGTAAATGGTCGACTTTGCGTTCTGCATCAACTGGTTGAACCAGATGTGGACAATCTGGAAGCAAAATAGCCGTTTTGGATCCAAAATGAACTCTTCTGGCCTGCCCCTTCCATTCCAAAATGATCTCTGCTAGTCTACCCCTTCCATTCCCAAATGATCTCTGCTAGCCTGCCCCTTCCATTCCCAAATGATCTCTGCTAGCCTGCCCCTTCCATTCCCAAATGATCTCTGCTAGCCTGCCCTTTCCATTCCCAAATGATCTCTGCTAGCCTGCCCTTTCCATTCCCAAATGATCTCTGCTAGCCTGCCCCTCCATCCCTCCAATTCCCAAAGAATCTCTGCTAGACTGCCAGGCCGGCTAGCAAAGATTCTTAGGAAAACTATTCCACGCCCAAAATCCACCGCACCTCCTCCTTATATTCGTCATAAAATTGGCGAGCGTGTGGCGGCGTTCCGAGTCTTTCCGAAGCATGAAGAACCGCTGGTTTCCGCTCTCATCCGATACCGTACTAAAGGGCAGATTTTAGCAAAGCATAAAATTTTAAGTGTCAAAAAACAGCACGATAACGGGCCCGCCGAACAGGCAGCATCAACTGAAAATTGCGCACTACAGATTAGCTACCGGAAATCGGGGAAAAATAGCTTTTAAAAATGGGAAAATAATCTTCACGTTTAGCAAAAAAATTAGCGAAATGTTAATGAAATTGAATTAATTTGGCTAATTTTACGTGGTTTTTCACGTTTTGAGATAATTTTAACTTTTTAACTTTTTAAAAACGTTTTTATATGCAAATGCAGAGCATGCAGCACGATACGATGAAAAGAGCCGGACTGGGGGTCAAATGGCATACTGTAGGGGTGCTGTGAGAGAGTACGGAACGCTGCGCAACAACCCCCACTACTACGGTAACGAGCCATGGATCGGCGAGACGAGGAAAGAAACTTGCTCTGTGTACGTGAATAAGCGTGGGCCGCTATTCCTGCAAAAATTGGGAGGTGAGGGAGTGATAGATAGAGAGAGAGAGAGAGAGAGAGAGAGAGAGAGAGAGAGGGAGAGGGAGAGAGAGAAAGAGAAAGAGTTGAGAGAGAGAGCGAGAAAGAGTTGAGAGAGAGCGGGAAAGAGCTGAGAGAGGGGGAGGGAGTGAGATCGAGAGTGAGAAAGATAGAGAGAGAGAGAGAGAGAGAGAGAGAGATAGAGAGAGAAAGAGAAAGAGAGAGAGAAGCCAAAGCCGAGCGCAGACCAGATAAAAGGGGAATTTTTGGAAAAAGGAAATATCAAGCCAAGACCCAAAAATCTTTTGCTAGTAAAACCATGTAAACAGCAATAAGATTTCGAGGACAGAAATTTAAAGGTAAACAGGAAAAAAAACTGAAAATTAGCATACCGATTCAGCAGCGGTGGATGGCCGACGCTCATCGGAGTCGAAAGGACCGAACCGGGGCTGGTGACGAGTTGCGGCTGCTGTGTTTCATCAGAAATTGGACTGAAAAAGTTCATAGATACTTCCCGAATTACAAAATAAGCTGAATATTTTGTATTTGTCACTACGATACCTGTTCGGCTGGCTGAAGGGGAACATCGGGTTCGGCGAGATGGTCATCGCTGCCTGCGGGTCGGCCGGTGAAGCGGAGAAAGTGCGGTTTCTAAAAATATTGGGTTTTGGTTACAGTAAGCCTAAGCCTAAGCTAAGCCTAAGAATAGCTTAGTAGAAGCCTAAGTCCAGGCCTAAACCTGAGCCTAAGCCTAAGCCTAAGCTAAGCCTAAGCCTAAGCCTAACCTACGCTTAAGCCTAAGCCAAACCGAAGCCTAAGCCTAAGCAGTAAGGTTACAGTAATACACGGCACACAGTACATTAAAAATAGTTTTGGGTAAGGGATAAGTAAAGAAATTGGGTTTTAAAGGGACCGTTTTTGGCTTAAAAGACCATTTAAGGCAAAATCCACAAACCACTAGCCTTAACGGTCCCTTTAAAATCAACTCCGGGGATTTAACAGAGGGCAAGCGGCATACCCTTCCAACCTGGCGTGGTCGATTCGGAGGTGGAGACGCTTCTCTTCTTTTGAGACCGAAGTGGTGCGGCCCTTTAGGGGTCCACCCTCGGCCACCGTAGCCCCATCCGTGGTGGGACCATCTTCGCCCTTTTTCTCGATTCCCATCCCGCCAATGTGCGAGGTGGAGCGTGCGAATTCTTAAAAAAACGTAATAAAATCGATAAACGATATTTCAGCGTTTTCAAGGGCTGTGTCCGAAGTTGATTTTCTACGTTTTTGCACGATGCTCTTAGCCCCGCCCATTTTCAGCGTTGCTCTTTCGATAGCTGACAGCTTATATCGTTTAAAGGGCCAGGAAAGGCATTGCGGTGTTGTTCGGCTGCCGATTCCTTTCCGTATCTGCTACGCAACGCAAGGAGTCGTAATGTGCTACGCACACGTAATGTGCGCGTTGCGTGTTGCGGGTAAAATTCGTAGCGTATCCATAGCTAATAAAATCCATAGTCAGGCCTTGCAATCGAATCCAAATCGTGAAAACGCGGAAAATGCCGACAAACAAACACCAGACAGTCTGAATGCCGACAGCCAAAAACACGACATGTCATAAACCCGATATCCAAAATCCCGAAATACAAAATAGCTGTTTAAAGAGAAGTGGATGTCAAACCAGGGCGAAGAACTTTCGGGATTTTAGCTGTCGAGATTTTGGTTGTCCCCTTTTGACTGTCGGGATTTTGACTCTAGCTGTCGGTATTTTAGCTGTCGGGAATACGGCTAGAATTCGTGCGAATCGACCCCTGATTCGACTAGGTATAGACGGGTACGCTAGGCTCTAAAGTTTTGGTGATTTAGGAAAGCGCTGCCTAGCCAGTATCTTTAAATGGAGAGTGACACCTAGTGAAAGTGCTTCTCACCTCCTTTATGCCGATTCGACGGCTCGATCGTCGGCTTCTTCGTGATGGATCCGCTGCGATTTCTTGAGCTAAACCGTGAGCCCTATTATCTGGGGGGTCGGCACAATACGACGAACAGGAAAATGGAAATTCTCTCAAAATCTGTTGATTTTTTATGGAGCCATCAAGGCAAAATCTCGCTCAAAATACCTAGTTCTAGACGATATCCACTCAAAATAATTATGGATAATTTAGGGTATGGATTTTGACTTCATAGTTCCTTTAAAAACGATAGATAGACAGTAAAGATGTTGAAATTGGAATAAAAAACTCACGACACAATCCCATTAATGTCCTCGATGAGCTTGGCGGCTGTGGGGCGAGCGGTTGGGTCGGGGTCGAAACAACTAAAACAAGATTTGTAATTTTGCAAATTGAATACTTTTGGAATGCAGAGGGAAGAAAGAGAGAGAGACGGGGGAGAGAGAGAGAGAGAGACATTTTGATCGCTACCTCTTGATAAACTGGACACATTTCTCTGTCAGTTTCTCCTCGGGGATCGGTGGGTGGCATTTGAACATGCCGACACGGAACAAGGCAGCTTCAGGTGATAGGAGCTAAAATTTAACGTTTTTGGAGCGAACAACCGTTAGATATACCTCCAAGAAAGGCGGTTTCCCGGTGGCCATCTCGACCATGGTGCAGCCAAAACTCCAGATATCGGCCGGGGCACCGTATCCGCGCTGTCCGTGATCGATCACCTCGGGCGCCATGTAGACCAGGGTGCCTGAAATGTCAGTGTTGGCCATTGTGCTCGAAGTTTCCCAACAAGTCTCTGCTAGCCTGCCCTTCCATTTCCTCAAAGAATTGCTGCTAGCCTGCCCCTTCCATTCCCAAATGATCTCTGCTAGCCTGCCCCTTCCATTCCCAAATGATCTCTGCTAGCCTGCCCCTTCCATTCCCAAATGATCTCTGCTAGCCTGCCCCTTCCATTCCCAAATGATCTCTGCTAGCCTGCCGTTCCATTCACAAATGATCTCTGCTAGCCTGCCGCCTCGAGAATTCAAATTCCGTACCCGTAAAAGACGCTGTATTCGGGTTGAGGCCAGCGAGTCGTTTGCACGTTCCGAAATCAGAAATCTTGCAGACTCCGCTGTACGTGTTCACGAGCACGTTATCTCCTTTAATGTCGCGATGGACAATTTTTTGCTCGTGGAGGTATCTGGAAAAAATAATTAAAGGTTGAGCGTCTCTCTCGCGCGGGCTCTCTCTCGCTCTCTCTCTCTCTCTCTCTTTCCCCCCCCCCCCCCTCCCTCTCTCTCTCCACTTACTTGAGTCCTCCGAGGATCTGCTTTCCATAAAGGACCATCGGCGGCTCGTTGAGTGCTCCCCATTTTTGGCGCAACAAATTTGAGAGTGATCCTCCCGGGACGTGCTCCATGAAGATCAGGAAGACGTCGTTGCCAAAGTCGCTAAAAATATATATTGAGCAATTCTGAAGGTGAATTAGCTATCGTAATCTATTTCCTTGGGCTGGGCAAGCTAGCAGAAATTTAGGAAGTCGAAAAGAGTTTCTTTGAGACTTCAGAATCGGGGATTTTCAAGCGATAATTTCCTAATACGAATTATCTATCGTAAGCGATTTCCTCGACCGAGCAAGCTAGCAGGGATCATTAGCGAAAAAAACGCACCGTTTCACCAGATCACAACCCAGATACTGTACAATATTGTTGTGACACAACGTCGAGTGGAGCTGGATCTCTTCCATCAACGGTTGCACCTGAAGGGGTACGGTAATCAGGGCAACGTCTAGAATCCACGCACCTCCTCGTCGAATTTCACTTCGATCTCCTTGACGACAATCTGGCGTTGCGTGGTGAGGTCGCGGGCCGCGTATACGGTACCTGAAAAGCCGATTAGAGTGCTGTAAAAATTTCCAATTTTTTGCAAAAGGTAAAAAACTGGCTTAACATGTTAAAGAGGACACAGATTACGGTAGGAATAAAAAATCCGATTTTTGTTCTTTCGAAAAAACCGCAATATTGTCTATTAACTTACCGTATGTTCCGCTGCCGAGATTCACGCGATTCCCCTGCTTGTCCGTCTCGTATTCGAACTGAAAAAACGTGATTTTTCTGATGAGCTACATAAGTTTTCTGGAAATTCCGGTACGCTACGCATTGCGAAATAAACTACGTACATTTACGTTCTCTTACGAATTTTAAGTACGCTACGTATTCTACCCAGGTTTGCACGTTTCGATACGTTTACATCAGTAACTTCCATACTTCTACGATTTTTCGGATTCTATTGACGGATTTAGCTATCATAATGGATTACCTACGGCTTGGCCAGCAAGCAGAGATTCTTTGGGATTCTTAGGACTGTAAGGATCCAAGACACGGGACTTTATATAAATAAGTGCAGGCTAGCAACGTCACTTTGAGGCAATCTACGAGGTGCGTTTTATTTGAATACGCCCTTATTTTGGGTTTGCGTAGCTGTCCGGACCTAGGCAATCGAAAGGGTCGGTTTTTCTGTTCTTCCCGTTCCCTTTAAAAAGTTTCGATATCCTAGCGAAATCAGCAAAAATCAAAAAACTCAAAAACATTTTGTCGGTGCCGTACGAAGTGGACGACTGATGGGCGGGGGTCGCCACCAGATAATAGCACCAATGTTGCTGTTGCTCACATTTGAAGCGCCACGCCCGTGGTGGACGAGGCGAATGGAAATGGAGCGCTGGAGTGCCGCGGCGGGGGGTCGAACCCGGGCCATGAGGCGCGAGGGGCTGGGGTGCTAGCCACTAGGCCAAGGGGCGGAGTCGGAGAGAGAGAGCCGGGGGTCTTTTCAGCTAGGGGTCACACCCCCAGCCCTGGCCCCAAAAAATTATCGTTGTACCTGGAAAACTGAGCAAAAGTAGGGCAAAAAAAAGTAGAATTTAATGCCGATTTTTGGCTATCGTACCCCCCTGCAAAAACAGGAAATTTCTCACATCCTTTTGCCTGAAAACTGCCAAAAACACAGATTCAAGCAGCGATTTTCAGCTTTTCTTTAAATTACATTTTCCGAAAATTTCCTCTGCTAGTCTGCCATGAAATATTATGCCCGTTTAGCGCTACAGTATAGGAGCCCATCTTAAAAAAAGATTAAGTAAGAATTTTTAGCTACAGGACGCTGAATTTTTGGCGAAAATTGCGTTTTTGCTTTTTTATGTTTTTCGCGCTAAAATTCCGCAAATTGTCGCTGCTAGCCTGCCCTAAAAATTATGATATTCTCGTAGCGGCCGTAGCCCTAAGCCGGGAATTTTGAATCTATTTCGCGGAGGACAAAAAAGGAGTAAAAACCAGTTTTGGTAAGTCCGTGGAATTAGATGTTGTGATTTTTCTCAAATGCTCTCTGCTAGCCTGCCCAATACAAACCTGCATCTTGTCATAGTCAATGTCGTTGAGAACTTTTCCCATATTGTCCGCTCCCTGCATCATTTCTTCGAGGGCAGCGATAACCCTAAAAATGGGGGACATACGCACTTGGTAGCGAGCCAACCGATTACGCGATGAAAAAACGAGGGAGAGTGTGAGAGGGGAGAGCGAGAAAGAGAGAGAGGGAGAGAGAGAGAGAGAAAGAGAGAGAGAGAGAGAGAGTGAGAAAGGATGAGAGTGAGAGAGATAGAATGAGTGAAGATGAGAACGAGAGAGCGAGAGAGACAGAGTGCGAGAGAGAGTGCGAGAGAGTGAGCTGGGAGGTCATACTCCCTTTAATAAACCGTAACCCACTTCGTGCAATGCGGCGCAGAGGGGAAGACGAGGTTGAAATCGTCCGAGTTCTCGTGTACGTAGAGAAACATGCTACGGTCATCTCGCTTGCTCTTCGACACGGCCTTGATGTTTGGGGCGGTGAAGTGCCAGCGGTGGATACCTGAAAACACAGTTTATTTTGAAATTTTTAGTTTTATTCTTTTTTTTATTAATGCGGATTCTGGCATTTTTCTATCCACAACCCTAACTCCGAAAACGTACATAAATTGTGAATGCTTGGAACTTGCTCGTGCACATTAGAACATTTTTGGTATAATAACTCCGAATAAAACCAAATAAATTATATTCTGGGCGCAGGCTACGCAACGATACCGTCTAACGGTCTGCCGAACGGGAAATGCCGCAGCGGGATTTGCTCTAAAAAATTTCGGAATGTTTTGAATTTTTGGAAACGGCAAGAATTGTGAATTAGTGAGCGAGAGAGGAGAGAGAGAGAGAGAGAGAGAGAGGTGAGAGAGATAGATAGCGAGAGAGCACGCGAGAGTTGAGCGTGAGAGCCGAGCTAGAGAGAGCGAGAGAGAGAGAGAGAGAGGAGAGAGAGAGAGAGAGGAAGAGAGAGAGAGACACCAAAATAATAAATACAGTGGGCGCAGGTCAAAAACTAAGGAGGCACTCCAAGATACCCGCGGAATTTGAGGGAGCGCCGAAAAGCGGATCGAGCAGCTCGGCCAGCTGGTTTGACCTTTTTTCTAAATCAATATTACAGTAGCCTTTTGTTAAAAATTTAAGACAAAATTCTGCATTTTTAATTTTTGAACAACCGAAATTCGGCTTTTTAACAAATTTTATCAGGATTAGTTTTACTCACCAGGCGGCGGCTTCTTGTGCTGCGAGTTTTCGAGGACGTGCGAGAGGATGATCGACCCCTCGCCGAGGTTCATCGTCAGGAACGAGGGCGAGAATTGCTGGAAAAATAAATTTTCTGAAAATTTTATTTGAATTTTGGCAAAACCCCCAGAAAAAGTCCCAAAATTAGCCGTCAAAATTAAAAATCAAAGTAGGGAACGTCTTCCCACTAATGCGAGAGTAAGCCGGTAGAGAAAGAAGGGCGAGAGAAGCGGAAAATTTGCTCAAAAAATTGCCAAAATTATTGAACCCGTTTGAGACCGACCCGATTGTAGTGCGGGTAGCACCGGGCGTAAAAAACGTTCTCCTTAAATGTGGGAAATGGTTACGATAAGAAAATCGGGCCGATTATCCGCCGAGTGTAGAGAATGGATTACGATATGATGAAGCCGAATTCGATTACGGTATGGTTTGCCTTAAAGGGACGGTGACAGCAGACCTTGAGCTCCTGGATGAGGACCGGGAAACGAGCGCAGTGGACTTCGGCCGTCTCGCTGTCGGTGGCTTCCATGAAGAGCTCGGTCCAGAAGAGGGGTTGTTGTTTGTCCTGGAAAGGGGGGATTAGAGGAGAGCAAGGGGAGAGAGCAAGAGTGAGGAGGAGAGGGAGAGGGAGGGGAGAGAGGAGAGAGGGAGATCGCTTGAAGAGGGACAGCCAGAGAGAGAGGGTGTGCGAGGAAGGCGAGAGAGAGACAGAGAGAACGTGAGAGAGAGAAAGAGAAAGTGAGAGAGAGAGAGCGAGAGGGAGAGAACGTGAGAAAGAGAGAGAGAGAGAGAGAGAGAGGGAAGACCCAAAGAGAGAGAGAGGAGAGGGAGAGAGTGTGAGAAAGAGAGAGTGAGAAGAGGGAGAGGGGGTGAGAGAGAGGAAGAGGGCCTTGCGTTTCTTTAGACTCACCTTCTCAATCGGACTCATCATGGGCGGCGCATCGGTTGATCAGCTTAATATTTTCCATTGTCGAGCGTAGATACCTTAAAAAACAATGAAACATGACTTCACAATCCCTTTAAAATCCCAAAAAAATTCGAAAATTTGCTTACCAAACCGGCTGGCTTCAGCTGGGACATTTTCAGCGCGGCCTGGCAAGCTTTTGAGTGAGTCCTCTGCCCAAGACAGACACCTAAATGTGCGATTTTTTCGGCGGATGAGTGTAAGGTAAAATCTCCACTCCCGAGAGCACGGGGCAGGGAAGCGCGAAGCTAAAAATCAACCCATCCTTTCGACTAGATCTAGACAACTAATTTACAATTCGAAAACGTCCGTAATTTGGCGCGTTTCGTAGCTGTCTAGACTTAGGCGAAGATCAGGGGTTGATTTTGAGACTCCACAAAAGCCTAAGCGGATATAACTGACCTCAAAAACGTCGCCACGTCCCAGTAGTCATAAGAGATTGTAAAGCGCGCTTTCGGCCGAGCAGCGAAGTTGAGCACGAAACCCGATGCAGGACATCTCCTGGTTGTTCTCGAATGTTTCGCCGCGGGCCCGCAGCAGCGTCGCCGGAGTTGATGCCGGAATACTCGAGAACGGACTAGCTCGAACGCCTTGCGGTACCTGGAATTTGATCGTAATCGGAAGTTATGCATCGGAAAATCCGGTTTTAAAGGGACAGTGAAGCCACCGAATTGCCGGTTCCCATTACTAGATCTCGACAGCTACGCGACACCCCAGATAATACGTTTTGATCGTGTTTTTTATAGTCGCAAGACATTGTTTACAAAATCTAGCGGCGTTTATAAGTGTGATCTGGAATCTCGCGTAGTTGTCGAGACCTAGTTGCTTCAGGGGGTCAATTTGGAAAACACAGCATACAACACAGCCCCTTTAAAGCACCAATTCTTTACCATTCAATGGCCGAATCGAGACTCGACTTGTCCTCATAGCCACTGGCGATGAATTTGTCCTTGTAGATGCGGCCGGCCAGGCAGATGATGTCCGGGCTCAGTTCTTGCTAGAGTTATTTCATCGAGCGTAAACATTTCAGAAAAATACCTTCCCGTCCTTGCCATCCTTCCCTTTCTCGGCTTCTTGGACGATGAGGAGTACTGTTTCGAGGGCCTTGTCACGATCTTTGTTTTTGTTGCGGCTACATACGAAATTTTGGGGGTCTATAGATTGCAACACTTGCTCAAAAATCTCTGCTGGATTGCCACGTAGAGCACGACAGAGAGAGAGAGGGAGAGAGTAAGAGCGAGAGAGGGAGAGAGGGAGAGAGAGTTGCAGGGAGAGAGAGAGAGAGAGCGCGAGAGAGAGAGCGTGAGATAGAGATAGAGGGGAAAGATATATAGAAAGCCCTATCAATATTAGAGAGAGAAAGCTAGAGAAAACGAGTGCGAGGTTGAGAGGGAGCATGAGATAGAGAGTGAGCGCGAGATAGAGAGTAAGCGAGTGAACGAGAGAGTGAATGCTAGTGAGAGAGAGGGAGTGAGAGTGAGGGAGAGGGAGAGAGACGTACAACCAGATACACAGACCGACAAAAACAGACTTCGGACAAAAATAACCCACCGATTCAACGCGAACGCATAGTAGAATCTGATCACTTGCGCCGTGTTGACGGCACAATCGGGCACCTTCTTCAGCTCGTCGATCAGCGAGATCATGCCCTCGTAATTTTGTTTGTCCCTAAAATCAAGATCCCCTTCGAATTCCATCCATACCTGTAGCCAAGTAGCAGCTGATGTACCGTATCGACACTTAGGACATCCGGATTGTCGAGTCGGCTTCGCATCTTGTCCAGAAAGTCGTTGGCCTCGTCGACGTCGGTGATCTCACGTACTTTGCGCAGATCGGAGAGAAACTTCTCGCGAGATGAGCGCTGGAATTTGATGGTGAGGAGAAAGAAAGTGAAGCAGGCAGAGGGAAGAGAGAGAGAGAGAGAGAGAGAGAGAGAAAACGAGACTCAGAGAGGAAGTTACAAAAGTGAGTGAGCATGAGCGAAGAGAAGGTCAGAGAGAGAGAGAGAGAGTGATATAGAGAAAGATTGGGACTGAGAGGCAGCTAGAGCGGTAGAGAAAGAGAGCGAGAACGAGCTACCGAAAAAGAGCGAGAGCGGAAAGATAGGGAAAGAGAGATCGAGTGAGATATAGAGAGAACGAGAAAATGAGAATGAGAGAAAATGAGAGAGAGCTAGAGAGAAATTACTCACTTCGCCTCAACTTGCACATTCTTGAGCGCCAGCTTGAGCCGTTGCCGGAACGGGCACAACTTCCCATTCTTCATGCACTCCGCCTTCGAGGCGAACACCGTCGAGTCGCCGAAATTTCCGGGTTGCGCAGCTGTGTTCTGCCGATCTTTTGGCTCCTAAAAATTTCGGTTTAAACTCTTCTGACTAGCGTTTTTGAAGCTTTCAGCGCGTACCACAGATTAAATTTTGGCACCCAACGCGTCAGCAGGGCGTTCACTCGACATCGCTGACCGTAGCCTCTCACCGCCGGCATCGTCGACATCAGGTGCGCACAGTCGCTGTCGTGAAATAGACGAGTAACGGTGCTCAAGTGTTCGCTTCAGCGTCTCGATTTTCCCGTCGGACTCCTCGCTGAGCAGGGTAGGCATGATGTTGTACCGCTGGCCCATGCTCTGGCGAACGCCTGGAACATGGGAATGGTATTAAAAGACCGTTTGCGAGCCACCCCCAGTGGGCTTAGCTGAGTTTTTCGACCCCGTTTTTTGACGGCATCGGATAGAGCATGGTCAAATTAGTAGGGCTGCATAGTTTTGAAAGTTTCAAAAGTTTAATTTTGGGAAATAAATGAACATTAAAGTTGCCGACCTCCGAAAACTATCTCGGCAAATGCCCAACAAAATTTGCTAAAAATTTGTGACAATACTAATTTTGAATTGGGAATCATTTCTCTAATACACTGTTGGCCAGATCATGAAAATGGCCGGAACGTGATTAAATCAAATACTAAAAACAGTTTTTCGACATTTTCGACATTTTAGAGAAACCGGCGCATATTAGCGAAAAGCTGCCATATCCTAGGCAGGCGCACCTCCAGTTTCTGCATCGAATGGTGTATCAGCCCGATATGCGCCGACTTCTCTAAAAATTAGTTTTATCCGCTTTTATGTGTGAAAATGGGGTAAAATTGACCCCGAAAAATGAAATTTTTTGCTTTCGAAAAATCTCTGAGATAAAGAAGTGCATCTAGAAGCCGAGACAAATCGATTGCAAAAAAGAGCAAAAAGAAATTCGGCTTCTTTCGATGTCGCCGGAATCGAACCGGACCGCCGCCTCCGAAGAGGCGCCCGTGGCGCAATGGTAGAGCGTCGGCGGTGCCAATCGGAGGTGGCGCCAGTTCAATCAGCCCCCTCTCAAGAAGCCCGAATTTCTTTTTGCTCTTTTTTGCGATCCAGTTGTCTCGAAAAATAGATGCGCTGCGCCATCTCGGGTCCTCTCTCAGCAAAGAAAAATGCGGAGAAAAAAAAAGTACCACTTTTCACGTAAACGTAAGCGGATACCCCCAGAAAAAGAGAAGTCGGCCAATATCAACGATACGCCATTCGATGCCGAAAGAAAAGAAACAGTCTCGCAAAGGATATAAAAATGAGCGCATGCTGAACTCCAAAATGTCAAAAAATCGAAAAAATGTTTTTAGCCTTGGAGACTGATCACGTTCCGCTGGCCCTGTTCCTGATTCCCCCTGTGTGCGGTAAATGATCCCCACCCCAGGAATAATGTTGGCTCAAGTGCTAACGAAATTTCGTTGGGCAGGGGCGAATCGTGCCCCCCCCCCCCCAACTGTCCAGTTCATTCAAGCTTCAAAGATAAACTTTTGAAACTGGGAAACTATCCCAGCCCTATTGCAAATCAGAGAAAGATCCATTTTATGCTGGATTATAACTTAACCTTTTAAAACTTACACAAGGAGGGGGAGGCCAGTTCGGGTGAGGTCATGGACGGCCTTTTAATTTATGTCAGTTCTGCCTCTCCATCTCATCCTGGCTCTCACGCTCTTGCAGCTCCCCCTCTCTCCTCTCTCTCTCTCTCTCTCTCTCTCTCTCTCTCTCTCTCTCTCTCTCGCTCTCTCCTGCATGAGCGAGAGAGGAGGCAGCGAAAGACAACAATGGAGAGAGAGACAAAAAAACGAGAGAGAAAGAGAGAGAAGCGATAGAGGGAGGAGAGGAGAGAGAGAGGAGAGAGAGACGCGAATGAGGAAATTGCATTTCCAAAACCCACCTATATGATAACATAGCGAGGGTTGCTGCTAAAGTACCCACACGTCGAACGAGAGCCACGTCCGCATTGTAGAACGTGTCGAGCGTGTTCGTCTCGCCAAAGTCCAGTCGGTCGGAACTCGATTCGCTAAAATGAGCCCGATTTTATATTTTTGCTCTGGAAAACGTACGTCAGATGGAGGTTCAACGGGTCGGTGACCTTTGCACGTCGTTGGCGGCGAGTTCACGTTGGCGGACATGTTTTTTGGACCTAATATAGTGATATATAGGCGCTAGGAGAGGCCCTAGAGGCCTTTAAATCGATGACGAGCACCACCTGTAGGCGTCGACTCGCCGGGCTCACCCGCTTCTCCGGCACCGGGGAGGGCGGGTCGAAAAAGGATTTTTGAGAAAATTTTAAGGACTTTTGGATACCAGAAAAATCTAAAATGATTGCTAGGCTATAGACTAAATAGTTTCCCATTCCCCCTTGCTAACAGTCCAGAACCCAGCCTCAACCATAAAAATATCGTGCTTACTACTCAGTTTGAGTCTTTTTAGCCATTTTCATCATTTTTGCCTAAAAGGAAGAACTTCCGAAAAAGGTTGTCTTTATAATCAGCCTTTTACCTCTAAAAAGTGTGTAAGATCCGTTAAAAAGGATAAAATTTTATTATAGGACCGCACAGGACCTTACTGGGAAAAATTTGGTTTGCCCCACCCCGAACTCGGAATTTTTCTATTGCTTATTCTATATTTTTTTTGCCGCACCCACGCGAAACGCAACGCTCCGACCGCGTGGTAGATTTAACAGGCCTAATCGATTCACGTTGTAAAAAATTGGGTACGCGCTACGTATCGCGGCGTATTGATCCATTAACTCTCCCACCTCGTCTGCTGGGCCCGCGGGCCGACGACGGATGGGGCTGGCCGGCGGTGGCGAGCGAGACCTAGGATTTTCAAAACCTAAAAAAATCCAGTCGCGCCCACCTCTTGCTCATCGCCCGTCTCGGACATTTCTGGGATTTCGAGAATTTTCGGGGATTCGGCGGCACCTCGGGTTAGTGACGGCGCATAGGGTCTGAAAATTAAGCGTAATTTTGTTGGGTGGGTTTCGAGTTAGAATTTTGAATGCGTGCAATTGTAACATAGGCAAAGACGGGGAAAAAGGGGAGATATCTGGAAAAATCATTAAGCAAACCGCGAAAATGTAAAATTCCAGTTGACTAAGCAATTTTTGCCGGTCTCTCGGTTAAAATCCTGTCCTAACGCGCAGGTTTTGTGAAATTATTCTTGCAAAATAATTTTAGGTGGACAATGAAAATTTTGATAGATAGGAGACGTTTTCGCGATACAGCGCTGAAAGTTCCACGTGGAGTTTTCAAAAATTCGATCCTAGAAAACAAGTTTTCTACGCTTGAAAAATCGACATTGTCGTAAGCTAGCCAGTAAACAAAAAAACAGGAAAACTTTTGCAGACAACAAGGCAACATAGCATAATCGATTCGGCGCGGTTCTATGCGCCTTTTGGGTCAAGTAAGGCACCCTCAAAAAGGTTAAACAGCAGAAATTTCAAAGACTTTTTCACAAGTGAAGCCGGAAACCGCTGATTACTCGGTGAGTTCAGTTTCAATTCAATACAACGAATATGTCTGCTATGCTTTTCTGAGCTTCATTTGAAAATAAGTATGATGATTATACAAAACAGCTAGACCGGCAAAGAGTAAACGTTTGAAAGCAAAGGCGTTGAAATAAGCGGCAAAACGGTAGAAAATTCAATCATCGCGGGACAGGGCATTAACAAAAAGAGACTTGTTGTTTAGCTTATTCTCTAGATATTTAAACTTTTAAAGTTTATAACAAAAAACGCAAGATCAAGTTAACCCAAACTTTTCTGAATTTATAACTCATTCCCGCTAGTTTAGAATAGAATCAAAACGCCGAAACACCAATTAGGCAGCCGGGCGCCTGGAAATTGTAAAAAAGAGACTCCACCGAAAAGCTGGGCAGATCTCTGCTGGATTGTTTGTTGTTTCAGCTTGTGAGGAGAGGAGGGGAGGCCTTCACATGCCGGCGCAACCCTGGGAGGGCGCCCACACGAAGAGTGCACACAGACAGGGTGTACCGAGCAGCGCCTCGTACTCTTGGCACCGGCCCGGGGTGTTTGAGTGGTGGGAACGATAACAAAGTACGGCCAGAAACGTTAATACGCTCGTCGTAGGACTAGCAGAGAGGCCGTTTGGGCAGTTGAACTGGTTTTTGGGTTTCCGTTAGTTTTGAGGGAATCTTGCAACTAGAATTCTGGAAAGTTTCAAACTTTCTAGTCCCTTTAAACGGTTGGCTTCGAGGACGTTTTTTGAAGAGACTTGAAAGGTTGTTCCAAGAAGGCTGATCGAGCAGAGGGCTTTTCGGGAAACATCACGGATTTGACTTTTACGATTTG